CTTCCTTCCTTCCCTCCTTCCCTCCCTCCCTCTTTCTGTCTTTCGTTCCTTCTCTTCTTCCTTCCCTCTCTTTTTCCTTTAACTTTTTTATTTCCTTTTCTCCTTTCTTCCTTCTCTACCTTTCTTTCTTTCCTTCCTTCCTCTTTACCTTTCCTTCTTTCCTTCTTTCCTTCCCCCTTTCCCTCCTTCATTCCTTCCCTCTTTCCCTCCTTCTCTCGTTACTTCTTGACTGTCCCTTCCAACTCTATTCTGTAAGTCTATTTAATTTGTATTATATAGTAATATATAATAGTAACATATTATATAATATATAATAATATAATTATATAATATATATTAATATTAATATATAATATATTATATATATATATATATAATTATATATAATTATATATATATTAAAAATTATATATATATATATATATATATATATATATATATATAAATTATATATTATATATACTACAATTTATGATGGTCACTCCTTGGGTTTGTAGGTGTCTTGTGTCCAAATTTGGTGTCAATTATCCAGTGGTTTTTGAGTTATGTCAACCCCACAAACGAACATTACATTTTTATTTATATAGGTTTATCATACAGTTGAAATGTATTTTTTTTAAAAAACAAACACATAATTTAGCAATTATATTAAATATCCTTTGACCAGTAGCTGGGTACTTGGAGTGCCTCTGGTGTTGCTATAAGGAAGCCCTCCATTGTGCATGTGGCAAGGCTCAGGCTGCATTGTAGTAGGTGGACTGTGGTTTGCTCTTCTCCGCACTTGCATGTCATGGACTCCACTTTGTGGCCCCATTTCATAAGGTTGGCTTTGCATCTCGTAGTGCCAGAGCTCCTTTCAAGTCACCCAGTCTTCTGTGTGCCCAGGAGGGAGTCTCTCATTTGGTATCAGCCATGGCCTGAGGTTCCAGGTTTTAGCCTGCCACTTTTGGACTCTTGCTTGCTTATGTGTTCCTGCAAGTATCTCTGTAGATCTTAGAAAACTATTTCTTGATTTAAGGTATTGGTGTGCTGGCTGATATCCAAACAGAAGATGGGCCAGTGATGTCTCTGCCTTGGTCCTTTCACTATTGGCTAGCTACTACTTCCCAGCAGATGTCCTGGCCCGCCACACGTAAGTTTTTGCTGGTTATGAAGTTTGCTTCTAGCACTCTCCTATATGTATGGTGGAAACATCCCAAGTGAGGCTTATTTTGAGCCTAACAGCTCCAACTCCCAACATATTTGAAAGTACAGCATTGATATATGATTGCACTGATGCCAGCTTTTTCCAATTAAGCAACTTTTAATATGCTTACAATGTTACGGTTATATATATATTTTACTATTGTACGTTTTTATTGTCTCATGTCTAAATAGTTCTCATTAAGCTGCCCAGAGATTTTTCAATAAATGGCAGGCTCAAAATACTGTCAGTTAATCTATATGTATATGTATATATACTATATATAAGTCAAAATATGTATGTATATTTGTTTGCTCTACAAAGGCTCTTACATGGCTTGATGGGGCTGGACCAAAATTGGTACACAGACCCTTCATTATTAGGCTTGGTTAATCAAAAAAAATGGTTCAAAACTCGTTTCAGATGTAAGGGGCGCTGGTGGTTCGATTCTAAAGTCAACCCCGATTATCACAGAAAAAAAAGTTCAAAACTTTTAGAAACTTCTGAGACGTCTGAATCCTTTTGTCAATGGTTTGAAAGTGTTATTTCCTGTTTCATTGGGTGGTCTTTACTTTGAAAGTAGTTGTTTTACTCCAGAAGCGGGGAAAAGCAAGTGGAGGAAACTCCTTCCTTCTCTGGTTTAAAACTGGCTACTCTGGCTTGAAAATTGGCTTCTTTGGCTTGAGTCGGGGCCAGGAAATTCCTTCATTCTCTGGTTTAAAACAGGTTTCTCTGGCTTTAAAACTGGCTTCTCTGGCTTTAAAACTGGCTTCTCTGGCTTGAGCCCAGGCCAGGAAATTCCTTCCTTCCCTGGTTTAAAACTGGCTTCTCTGGCTTTAAAATTGGCTTCTCTGGCTTGAGCCCAGGCCAGGAAATTCCTTCCTTCTCTAGTTTAAAACTGGCTTCTCTGGCTTTAAAACTGGCTTCTCTGGCTTGAGCCCAGGCCAGGAAATTCCTTCCTTCCCTGGTTTAAAACTGGATTCTCTGGCTTTAAAACTGGCTTCTCTGGCTTGAGCCCAGGCCAGGAAATTCCTTCCTTCTCTGGTTTAAAACTGGCTTCTCTGGCTTTAAAACTGGTTTCTTTGGCTTGAGCCCAGGCCAGGAAATTCCTTTCTCCTCTGGTTTAAAACTGGTTTATCTGGCTTTAAAACTGGTTTCTTTGGCTTGAGCCCAGACCAGGAAATTCCTTCCTTCTCTGGTTTAAAACTGGCTTCTCTGGCTTTAAAAACGGGTTTCTTTGGCTTGAGCCCAGACCAGGAAATTCCTTCCTTCTCTGGTTTAAAACTGGCTTCTCTGGCTTTAAAAACGGGTTTCTTTGGCTTGAGCCCAGACCAGGAAATTCCTTCCTTCTCTGGTTTAAAACTGGCTTCTCTGGCTTTAAAACTGGCTTCTCTGGCTTGAGCCCAGGCCAGGAAATTCCTTCCTTCTCTGGTTTAAAACTGGTTTATCTGGCTTTAAAACTGGTTTCTTTGGCTTGAGCCCAGGCCAGGAAATTCCTTCCTTCTCTGGTTTAAAACTGGTTTCTCTGGCTTTAAAACCGGTTTCTTTGGCTTGAGCCCAGACCAGGAAATTCCTTCCTTCTCTGGTTTATAACTGGCTTCTCTGGCTTGAGCCCAGGCCAGGAAATTCCTTCCTTCTCTGGTTTAAAACTCGTTTATCTGGCTTTAAAACTGGTTTCTTTGGCTTGAGCCCAGGCCAGGAAATTCCTTCCTTCTCTGGTTTAAAACTGGTTTATCTGGCTTTAAAACTGGTTTCTTTGGCTTGAGCCCAGGCCAGGAAATTCCTTTCTCCTCTGGTTTAAAACTGGTTTATCTGGCTTTAAAACTGGTTTCTTTGGCTTGAGCCCAGACCAGGAAATTCCTTCCTTCTCTGGTTTAAAACTGGCTTCTCTGGCTTTAAAACTGGCTTCTCTGGCTTGAGCCCAGGCCAGGAAATTCCTTCCTTCTCTGGTTTAAAACTGGCTTCTCTGGCTTTAAAACTGGTTTCTTTGGCTTGAGCCCAGGCCAGGAAATTCCTTTCTCCTCTGGTTTAAAACTGGTTTATCTGGCTTTAAAACTGGTTTCTTTGGCTTGAGCCCAGACCAGGAAATTCCTTCCTTCTCTGGTTTAAAACTGGCTTCTCTGGCTTTAAAAACGGGTTCTTTGGCTTGAGCCCAGGCCAGGAAATTCCTTCCTTCTCTGGTTTAAAACTGGCTTCTCTGGCTTTAACACTGGCTTCCGAAGCCAGGAAATTCCTTCCTTCTCTGGTTTAAAACTGGCTTCTCTGGCTTTAAAACTGGCTTCTCTGGCTTGAGCCCAGGCCAGGAAATTTCTTCCTTCTCTGGTTTAAAACTGGTTTATCTGGCTTTAAAACTGGTTTCTTTGGCTTGAGCCCAGGCCAGGAAATTCCTTTCTCCTCTGGTTTAAAACTGGTTTATCTGGCTTTAAAACTGGTTTCTTTGGCTTGAGCCCAGACCAGGAAATTCCTTCCTTCTCTGGTTTAAAACTGGCTTCTCTGGCTTTAAAAACGGGTTTCTTTGGCTTGAGCCCAGACCAGGAAATTCCTTCCTTCTCTGGTTTAAAACTGGCTTCTCTGGCTTTCAAACTGGCTTCTTTGGCTTTAAAACTGGCTTCTTTGGCTTGAGCCCAGGCCAGGAAATTCCTTCCTTCTCTGGTTTAAAACTGGCTTCTCTGGCTGTAAAACTGGCTTCTTTGGCTTGAGCCCAGGCCAGGAAATTCCTTCCTTCTCTGGTTTAAAACTGGCTTCTCTGGCTGTAAAACTGGCTTCTTTGGCTTGAGCCCAGGCCAGGAAATTCCTTCCTTCTCTGTTTTAAAACTGGCTTCTCTGGCTTTAAAACTGGCTTCTCTGGCTTGAGCCGAGGTCAGGAAATTCCTTCCTTCTCTGGTTTAAAACTGGCTTCTCTGGCTTTAAAACTGGCTTCTCTGGCTTTAAAACTGGCTTCTTTGGCTTGAGCCGAGGCCAGGAAATTCCTTCCTTCTCTGGTTTAAAACTGGTTTCTCTGGCTTTAAAACTGGCTTCTCTGGCTTGAGCCGAGGCCAGGAAATTCCTTCCTTCTCTGGTTTAAAACTGGCTTCTCTGGCTTGAGCCGAGGCCAGGAAATTCCTTCCTTCTCTGGTTTAAAACTGGCTTCTCTGGCTTGAGCCCAGGCCAGGAAATTCCTTCCTTCTCTGGTTTAAAACTGGTTTATCTGGCTTTAAAACTGGTTTCTTTGGCTTGAGCCCAGACCAGGAAATTCCTTCCTTCTGGACGAGGTGGGCGTGGCCATGGGTCTCTGTAGACATGCAGTTTCTCCTTTGTGGACATGCAGTTTAAAAGTCCTTTCTACTTTTGGTTGTTTTTTTTTTTTTTGAGTGGACAACATACATTGGGTTGTTAGGAACATAGTGTCCAAATTTGGTGTCAACTGACCCAGTGGTTTCTGAGTTCTGTGAATAGTACAAACGAACAATACATTTTTATTTATATAGATATAATAATAATAATAATAATAATAATAATAATAATAATAATAATTCCCTCCCAGATGATCAGAGAGTTGCCATGGAGAGACTGTGAGGTGGACCTTCTCAGAGCTGGAGAAAGGAGAAAGCAGGTGAGCAGTGGCTCCTCCGATACACTATTCAATAATAAAGAAAGCCTGAATGGTATAATGGTTTGAGTGTTGGGTCAAACTCTGGGAAATCTGAAGTCAAAACTACATAGTCACCAGATAACCATGAGAAAGTCACACTCTTTCAGACAATGGCCAAGGTTGCTTCAAGGTTCTCATCTCCAAGTCATGGCTGAAATCCTCCTACATTGGAGTTGCGTAGCCTACACGATATGCAATACTTGTATCCAATACCTGATACATACCTGGCTCCAGCTCCCAGCAAACCATTCCACTTTCCCCAAACATGGGCCATTGTCGCACGGGGTTGTTTCCGGCGGCCGGTTGTGTCCGCAGCCTTCGAGCGGCAAACTGCTGATGTGGTTCGTCATGCAGATGACGGAACGTGTCCGGACGCCGGTGCCGCATTCAGCTGAGCACTGTTACGGCAAAAGAAAACAAAGACCTCCATCAGCCCTGTGGCTATTTTCATCATCATCATCATCATCATCATCATCATCATCATTTAATTACTTATTAATCGCCCTCCATCCGAGAATGTTCTAGGTGATTTACAGCTAAATTGTAAAAGATAAAATACATACATACAGAAATTAAAAATTAACAGAGATCGAATGCTCTAGTAAAAAGCCAGGTCTTAAGTGCTAGAGTAAAAGGTCCTAAGTCACGCATGGCTCTCATATAGGGTGGCAAGGAAATCCATAAGGCAGGGGCAGAAATAGAGAAAGCCCATCTGCGCCTGGTCCTTTCCAAGGGCACTTCTCTAGGACCCGGTATATGGAGTAAGTCAGGTTGGGCTGGTCGTTGCGACCTCCGATGATGGGAGAAGGAGAGGCGGTCCCTAAGGTACGATGGACCCTGGCCGTAAAGAATTCTAAAGGTCAGAACTAGCATCTTATACAGGCCACGGTACTCAATAGGAAGCCAATGTAAATGTTCTTGCGAGTAACCTGGCTGCCACGTTCTGAACGATACGAAGCTTTCGTGTCGTAGACATCGGAAGGCCCACATACAGGGCGTTGCAATAGTCCAGCCGAGACGTGACCGTGGCATGGATGACAGTAGCCAGAGCCTCGTCAGATAGGTAGGGTGCCAGTTGCCTCGCTTGTCGTAGATGGAAAAAGGCCTGTTTGCTGGCAGCAGCGACCTGAGCTTCCATTGTCAGCTGTGAATCCAGGATGACACCTAAACTCTTAACAGTGGTTGATGGAGATAGGGCGGCACCATCGAAGGTGGGTAATGGAGGAGTCAAACCTGCCGGGCAGCCATGCCAGAGAATCTCAGTCTTCGCCAGGTTCACCTTCAGTCTGCTAGCACGTAGCCAGTTCAACAGAGCTTCCAGACATAGGGTGAAATTGTCTGGAATTGACGTTGCTCCAGGCTCCAGACGCAGAAGGAGTTGGGTATCGTCTGCATATTGGTAGCAGTCCAGGCCGAAACTCTGAGCCAAATTAGCAAGGGGTCTAACATAGATGTTGAAGAGAAGAGGAGAGAGAATTGCACCTTGGGGGACCCCACATAGGAGGGGGGGTCTATTGGAGACTTGATCCATGTACTCCACGCGTTGACTCCGGTTCCGGAGAAATGAGTTGAACCAATTAAGGGCCTGACCGCGAACTCCGGACATGGCAAGACGGTGGATCATTAGATCGTAGTCGACAGTGTCAAACGCTGCGGTAAGGTCGAGAAGTACCAGTAACGCGGATCCACCATTGTCAGACTGACGACGGAGTTCATCTGTAATGGCAACCAGGACTGTCTCCATCCCATGACCCAGGCAAAGGCAGAACTTTTCTGCTCAAAAGTCTCCTCAGTTTCCCACCCCATGCTATACTGATATAGTTATTGTTGTCGTTGTTCTTTCTATCCCATATTTTCCTCAATTAATGTTCCTCAGGAGTCACTCTATGGTAACTTCAGGCAGAGGTCAGTCATTTCAATAGCACTCACAATTAACGACAGCATCTAAGGTAAGTTCAGGAATCGTACAGTAACGAAATGATGGCAACCAGTGCGACCACATAATATGAACGAACAAAGAATAATTTTAGATCTAGACCTCCTAGTTACGAATCTGTTACTGTCCCAAACAATGCCAGCCATGTTTATTTTTTTTCAAGGTTGTCTTTAATCAACACATATGTGGGTTGAGAACAAGGATGGACATTTCTCCAAGGTGAGAAGAAACCTTCAGTGAATACTTTCTCAACTATTGATGGGGTTCAGAATGCTCTTTGATTGTAATTCCCAGCAACTACAACTCCCAAATGTCAAGGTCTATTTCCCCCAAACTCCACCACTGTTAACATGTGGGCATATTGAGGATTTGTGCCAAGTTTGGTCCAGATCTATAATTGCTTGAGTCCACAGTGCTCTCTGGATGTAAGTGAACTACAACTCCAAAACTCAAGGTCAATGCCCAGCAAACCCTTCCAGTGTTTTCTGTTGGTCATGGGAGTTCTGTGTGCCAAGTTTGGTTCAATTCCATCTTTGATGGCACTCAGAATGCTCTTTGATTGTAGGTGAACTATAAATCCCAAATGTCAAAGTCTTTCCCCCCAAACTCCACGAGTGTTCATGTTTGGGCATATTGAGTCTTTGATTGTAATTCCCAGCAACTACAACTCCCAAATGTCAAGGTCTATTTCCCCCAAACTCCACCAGTGTTAACATTTGGGCATATTGAGGATTCGTGCCAAGTTTGGTCCAGATGTATAATTGTTTGAGTCCACAGTGCTCTCTGGATGTAGGTGAACTACAACTCCAAAACTCAAGGTCAATGCCCACCAAACCCTTCCAGTGTTTTCTGTTGGTCATGGGATTTCTGTGTGCCAGGTTTGGTTCAATTCCATCTTTGGTGGCACTCAGAATGCTTTTTGATTGTAGGTGAACTATAAATCCCAGTAACTACAGCTCCCAAATGTCAAAGACTTTTCCCCCAAACTCCACGAGTGTTGAGGTAGGGGCATGAATCAGAAAAGTTTTAGTGCTCGTTGGCTCTGTTTTCCTCATAATTGCTTCATAGGTCCTTGTGACTTGGAGACCGTTGATGTGAGTCTGGCTCATCATACACTCTATGTGCCATCGCCCACAAATACGTCCCAGACCCAGAGGGGGGCATGGACTTGTTTGCCTTCTGAAAGAAGAAGAAAACCAAGGACTTTTTGCCAAGGATGTGGAGGGGAAAAAGGATTGGGCCAGTTTCCACATTGAGCTTGCTGTGCACAGTGGGAAGCAAAGGCTGGGTCTCTGACACCTTTTCAAAACATGTTCGCAACACTCCAGAGTTTCACAAGGTTTTATGTAACCGCAAGTCCCTCCAAAGAAGCGCCCAAATGGGTTTGAGATGCCTGTCTGTTCTGTTTTCCATCTTAAGTACAGACAAGCATCTCGAGCTCTGAGGATGACCTGGGAAGGAATCCCACTGGAGCACTGCAGCACACCCAAATATCTGGGAGTTACCCTGGACCATGCTCTGACTTACAAGAAGCACTGCTTGAATATCAAGCAAAAAGTGGGCGATAGAAATAACATCATACGAAAGCTGGCTGGCACAACCCGAGGATCACAACCACATACAGTGAAGACATCTGCCCTTGTGCTTTGCTACTCTGCAAACATCCTGAAAACATCTGCCTCATCCTCTGTTTGGATATCAGCCAGCATGCCAACACCTTAAATCAAGAGACAGCTTCCTAAGATCTACAGAGATACCTGCAGGAACACATCAGCAACCAAGAGTCCAAAAGTGGCAGGCTAAAACCTGGAACCTCAATCAGTGGCTGAGACTGGATGAGAGACTCCCTCCTGGGCACACAGAAGACTGGGTGACTTGGAAGGCACTGAACAGACTACGTGCTGGCACCACAAGGTGCAAAGCCAATCTTCAGAAATGGAGCAACAAAGTGGAGTCCACAACATGCGAGTGTGGAGAAGAACAAACCACAGACCACTTAAAATGCACCCCGAGGCCTGCCACATGCACAATGGAGGACATTCTTACATCGAAAACAGAGGCAGTCCAAGTGGTCAGCTTCTGGTCAAAGAACATTTAGCATAATGCCAAGTTTGTAACTTTGTTTGTGTTTTTAAATACATTATAACTGTACCCGCAACTTGTTTCTGATACGATAAATAAATAAATATGCACACAAAAGCAGGAATTGAAGCAAAGGCCACCAGCATTGAAGCCATCAACTTTGCCAAACTGGCCACATTGTCCAAATGCCCGATCACCGTCTCCCAAAGCAGTTACTCTACTCCCAACTCAAGAATGGGAAATGTAACATTGATGGACAGGAAAAGAGATTTAAAGACAGGCCTAAAGCCAACCTTAAAAACTGTAACATAGACACAGAGAACTGGGAAGTCCTGGCCCTTGAGCAATCTAACTGGGGGTCAGCTGTGACCAGCAGTGCTGAAGAATTTGAAGAGGCATGAATGGAGGGTGAAAGAGAGAAATGCGCCAAGAGGAAAGCATTCAATATAAGCCAATCCTGACCAGGACCACCTTCCACCTGGAAACCAGTGT